GAAGACAACCTGCTATACTGAGGGAACATATTTTCCAGTTGGGAGACATAGTAAATAAACAAATATATACTGTAGTTGGGGGATACTAAGTTCTATGAAGAAAATGAAGGAAAAGCGAGAGAGTGGAAGTAGATTGTGAGGAATGAAGAGTCTCTCTTTTTCATTCACAGTGTATCTTTTTTCTTTAGCACTCTAACAGTCCCTCTTCCTTTGTGTATTCATAGTCCCCTATCCTTATTCCATGTTGAGTAATTAACAGAATGTTTTGAAATTATCTGTCCCTGGAAGACTCTGGGACTTACTGTAGGCAGAAATCAGATCTTGTTCAACACTGCTTTTCTGGTGCATGTTATAGGGTTGGGGCTCTCCATAGAAACAGATGTGGGAGATGTTTAGAAATACTTTATGAAGGATTGGCTCAGCAATTATGGAGGCTGAGAAGTCATATAATCTGCCCTCTTTCTGCATACTAGAGACACAGGAAAGCCAATATTTAAGTTTTCCACCTGCAATAAAAATTCCCCTTCCTCCTGGGCCCTCAATAGCTTGGACTATTCCTATCCACATTGATGAGAGCAATTGTTTTCTTAACTACTCTACTTATTCAATTGTTAATCCCTTCCGGAAACATCTTCAGGGACATACCAGAAATGTTTTATCAGCTACGTAAACCCCAGATCCAGCCCTTTTTATTTATGAGACAGCGTCTCAGTAAATTGCTGAGGACCTCACTAAATTGCTGAGGTTGGCTTTGAACTGGTGATCTTCCTGAGTTGCTGAGATTACAGGTGTATGCCACCACACTGTTTTATGATTTTAAAAAAGCTTTCATGCACAGTATCTGATGTTATCATCTCACCAATTCTGCAAGGCAAGCCAAAAAGAAGAGATATTCAGTTCCAATTTACAAAAAAGAGTAATGTGCTCAAAAATATTTTAATTTTCATTATCATAATGTGAGATTAACTCCAAGTAGTTGAGATATGGGAGACTTGAGTACTAAAACACTATTAAAAGTATTTTTTTTAAGTATTTTCATGGCTTTCTATGGAGTGCTGGTCTAAAATGGCATAGTTTATGGATGCTCCATGACACATACTGTACATACTATACTTCTTTCATATTTTCAGAAACTAAATCAGCTGATGAGAATATTGAAGTAAGGCTAATTTTCAGAGTGAATTAATTCTACTCATATTAGCTTTTACACATAAATAGATTTTATGTGCCAGGATATACTTTATATATATATTAACTTATCTAATTCTCATATCCTTTGTAATTGAGTTTCAAAAGGCTTTAAAGCAAAAACAGGGCTAGGGCTGTAGCTCAGTGGTAGAGCACTTGCCTCACCACATAAAACATAAATAAATTAAAATAAAGATTTCATTCTCCCCTTCAAAATACTGTATTTTTTAAAAAAGCAAAAACAATTCTAAGCATGCTTTTATTATAAAAGCTTAAAAACTACATTCATTGAACAATTTTTCTTCCTCTATTTATATTCACCTACAAGCCACAGAAATTATAAAACATCCAGAGATGACAAACAGGGTTGTGTAAGTTACTTTTTACAAAACAATAGAAATATTTTCAGACAAATATTTACTCTAGACTGATGAGGATATAAGCATTCTACTATGAAAATAATGGTAAAATTGATGACCACTCATAATGGTCCCATCCACCAGTCTAAAATCTATGCTTAAAACCTTTCATGTATTGCAAGAATTGTGTTGTGTGGAGTCTTTGCTGTAGAAAAGCAGAAGAATTGAAATAGTAACCAATTCAGAGTCCAGGAAACCGAAGTATAAATACGTGTTAAGTCTGTTTTAAAATTAGCATAAAATAGAAAACTATAATTCATCTCTAGCAGTTGGCTAGAGCATAACAGCATTAGAGAAACAAAGTGTAAAATGTTTTCTTATCTCCTGGAGCTTGAAATCCAACAGATAAAGTACTACTTGTTGCCGCTGAGGATTATATAGTATATGGAGACTGAAGTCTAGTAACTAATAGATTTAACTGGTAAAAATAAAGACCCTTGGGCTGGGGCTGTGATTCAGACGTAAAGTGCTTGCCTGGCAAGCGTGAGACCCAAGACTAGGTAACCCCAAAGGGATCCAGTGAAATGAATAATAGTTTGGGTATGAGGTGTCCCCCCAAGCTCCTGTATTAATGCAGGAATATTCAGAGATGCAGTGATTAGATGAGACCTATGCTGGGAGTGGTGGCAGACACCTGTAATCCCAGTTCTTGGGAGGCTGAGACAGGAGGATTTAAAGTTCAAAGCTAGCCTCAGCAATTTAGCAACCCTGTCTCAATATTAAAAATAAGAGTTGGGGATGTGGCTCTGTAACTAAGTGCCCTGGGTTCAATTTTTGGTATTAAAGTTAGGAGAAATGTAAGCCAGTCCATCTTAGTTTAGGTGTGGTATATAGATACCACAGGTATGATGTTCCCAGAGGAGGTGGGTAACTTAGGTATGTACCTAGGAAGGGTTCATCTTCCCTGCAGCCCCTTTCCATCCAACCCCCTTGGCTTCCTGTCTACCTGGATGAAGCAGCATTCCTCTTCCACACCCTTCCTTCATGATGTTCTGTCTCACATTGGGTCCAGAACAGTGGAGTCATCGGACCATAAACTGAATCTCTGAAAATGAGCCAAAATGAACTTTCCCTCAACTAAGTTGCTTGTCAGGTATTTTGGTCACAGTGACGAGAAGCTAACACACAAGTGATGAGATAGCAGTTTATTAACAGTTTGTTGAACTGAATCTCTGAAAATGAGCCAAAATAAACTTTCCCTCATCTAAGCAGTTTATTAACAGTTTGGAGGTGAGAAATAAGAATGTGTAGGAAAGGTCTTATCAAAATTTCATCTGTAGCAGATATTCTTAAAATTTTAGGAGAATCAGGTCTTTGGAGAAAGCTAACATTTCCCTGTTCTCATAAAAATACACATGCAGGGGCTGGGGCTGTAGTTCGGTGGCAGAGCACTTGCCTAGCACACGTGAGGTACTGGGTTCGACCCTCAGCACATTAAATAAAGACATGATGTTCATCTACAACTACAAAAAATATATTTTTAAAAATACACATGTAAAATCTTACAAATAAGTTCAAGGTAGACACCAGATTAACATTCAGGGATCTGTAATACTCTCAGGGCTGCACAATGTGATTTCAAAATACTGGTTTATAGATTGAAGATGAATTATAATGAGGATTTCACCAATGCTTAACAAAAAGAGAAAAGACAATGTAATGAAATAATGCTAAATCTATATAAAGACCTTCTCTATATTCTGTGATTTCACCCTTCCTAAATTTTGCATGCTTTTCTATGAACTTATAGGCACAGTAGTTGGTATTGGAAAGTGGCAGGTAATCACAAGCTACCCATGGTATACATAAGAAACTAATCCTGCCAGGCCTGGAGGCACACCCATGTAATCCCAGCAGTTTGGGAGACTGAGGCAGGAGAGTTGTGTTCAGAGCCAGTCTTAGCAGTTTACTTAAGTGCTGAGCAATTTAGAGACCCTGTCTCTAGATCCTCAGTACCAAAAAAGAAAGAAATCGTCCTTTAAGACCATTGGCAGCTGCTGGGGTTATGGCTCAGTGGTTGAGTGCTTGCCTAGCACATGTGAGGCACTGGGTTTGATTCTCAGCACCACATATATAAATAAGTAAATAAAAGTCCATTATCAACCAATACAAAAATGTTTAAAACAGTATTAAGAGGACTATTGGGAAGGTGCCAGTAGAGCAACAGACCAAGAGAATAGGAAGGTTAGCAAGGGGAGTCAATTTACTATTGTTAGGTTACCCATTTCAAATAGGAATGTGATGAGCACAAGAAAAGCAAAAACACTGCAACAGAATCGACTTGGGTCAAATCACAGCTAAGATCCAAATAAAACACAACTGACCTCTTAGTAACCAGTGCTTCTACAGAGGTGCATCCTAGTTACTCTTACATTAGCCAAAAAAAAACCCTAATATTATCAACAGGGAGATCCAATTTCTGCAAATGATGGTAGGCTGGTGATTATTAGTGTGGCTAAAACATGTCTTATTAGAACTAAAAGAAGTTTATGACCCACAGATGCACCCACCATGTAACTTATGCTTTGAATATAGCCCTTGCTGCTCTGCCACTGCAACTTATTTTTAAAATGGAGGTGTTTTTCTTCCTCTCTCCTTGATTCTCCTTAATCTCAGGAGAAACATGATTACCTCTCTTCCCCATTTTAGGCAGATTTATCTGTCCTTGAGTACTCACCCACTATAGGAAAGGAGTAATTCAGACTTTGGGGATGGTAGCAGAAGATCTCAGAAATGACTATCCACCTCCCATGTTAATAAGTGAATTATAACTCCAAAGAGTCACCCCTTTAAAGCTTCCTGTTCCTGCTGATGGGCAGAATCACAGCTTCTGGGACAGGAGTCCCCTGTTTCTCCTTTGCTAGTAAAACATAAAAACTTTTTTCTTTTTCTCAAAACCATGCCCTCATTATTGGATTGGCATTGGGGACAAGGACTGAGCATTTGGTAACAACCATATCAAGTTTCACAGTTAAGTTGAATTCAGTCTTTCATTTGGGATGGCAAAGGTGACTACTTTTCTTCCTGTGGGGAAATGTCCTGATAAACATCAGAGAAAGTATCAAAAAAGTCCCCTTTCCATGACTTCTACAGTGTCCTTTCATCTTATTTCATGTGTTTTCCTCTTTGGCCTGCACTAATCTCAACTTTTCTTTAAAAAAAAAAAAAAAAAGAGAGAGAGAGAAAGAAAAAACTTGAAAAAACACAAAGAAGATGTATTAATAGCCCAAAATACATGTAAATGCATATCATTTTCTGAGGTACAAATAAAAAACCATGCCTTCAAATTTGTAAAGACCATAAAATGAAAGGACTATGTTACTCTAATCACCCAAGATATAATCAATACTTTCTAAAACTTATAGGTTACAATACAGAAGGTCAAGTAATAACTTTGCAGCTTTATAATAGGATTTTATTAGCATTTAAAAAATGTTACCTAACAATGGTCATATAGTGGGGTAAGAGATTAATTTGAAAATGTTTCTACAATAATTTCACTACCAATGAAGGAATATTAATATGAACAGATGAACTTTTAATCCATCCATCTAGAAGTGTTTATTCACTAATAAATTGTTTTCTGATCTAAAATCATCTTTTCATCTTGCTTTTTCTTCTGCAGCTGAACTAGAAATTTGCATTTTTTCGCCTAAAAAACTGAAATGACATATTCTTTCTTATAAACTATGTTCTCTGATTTTCCTGTCAGCCTGCTTCAAGAAAATCCATGTGTTCAGTATGCTTGCTCGCAGTTTGGCCCATATCAGATGGTTGTTTAATCCAAATATCTGAGCTGCAAACTGAGCTGATCCTTCTGGAGAAAGTATGGTGGAGCAGCCAAGACCTACAGTTCACAAAGGGAAAAGACAGAAAATTGAAGTGTCAGTTAATAATCAAAGTACAAGGGCTCAGTGATAGAGTGCTTGCCTAACATACATGATGCCCTGGGTTCAATCCCCCAACACCTCAAACGAAATGAATAAACAAATCAAAATGGTTATCTAGTGAACAAGACATCATAGAAAGAAAGATGAGCAATCTTTCAGGATCTTATGTACTAGTCACTATATGTTTTTTTTTTTCAAAAACACTGTCCGTAGTCAGGTGTAGTGGCACACACCTGTAATCCTAGAGACTGGAGAGGATGAGGATTATAAATTTGAGGACAGCCTCAGCAGCTTAGTGAGACCCCATTTCAAAATAAAATAAAAAGGATTAGGGTGTGGCTCAATGTTAGAGGATTTCTGGGTTCAATGCCCAGTAATACACATGCACACACAGATTATCTCTAATTCTAGTGACCAGAATGTACACATTTCCCAGAGTCCCTCTCTCTCCTTGAATAGCACTAGATAAAAACTGTCCTATTTTTGCTCATCATAGTTCCCTTTTTCTTTCTTTCTTCTTTTTTTTTTTTTTTTTTTTTAGTGGTGCTGGGGATTGAACTCAGGGCTTTGTGCATGTGAGGGAAACACTCTACCCCATCTCCATAGTCCCCTTTTCTAATGTCCATGGACGATAGGTATATAGTTCCTCTGGCATAAATTTGATCAATAGCTTTATTTATAGCTTCAGTGAATATTAAACTCGAAAAGTTTGTGTAATCAATGTGTAGTTAAGGATCTAGTGAAGATGATTAAGCACAAGATATATCTCTGGAACCATACTAAATCCATCTTAAAGGGAATAAAGAAAATAGGCATAAACATATTAGGACAAAGAGATAAACAAAAGTAACATTTTGACAACTGAAAAGCAAATAAAGTGGTAACTAACTTAATAGATTAAGAAAACAAAAGAAAAAAAAAAAAAAGAGAAGCAACCTAACTACTATCATAGAACCCTGCTAAAAGAGGAATTAGTTGCACCAGATACCTTTGAGGGAGGCATGAAGTGGGAATAAAAATTGGGCCAAAAAGAAGAGGACCAAACAATAAAAGTCTAAGAAGTAATTAGGCCCTCAAGAACTCTTTCCTTTGTCTATCTGAGTAAGTGCCTCAACATGGCAGAGTTTTCAATTTATCTGAGGTTAAACACTTCAGTCTCTGGACTGGGGGGATATCAGGCATAGTTGAGGCAAGGAATGATATAGTGAAAACAGGGAGTGAAGTTTACACACACAAGTTGAGATCCCCCCCTAAGCTTCCTGAATGCTGGCAGCCAAATTTATTCATACAGGCAAAAGATGGGGACAAAATTTCTCTGTGTAATTCTAACAAGAAAAGACTTAGTCACTGATGTGTGAGATTATTTGGAGAGTAACTACCAGATCAACCCACAGTAGAGCCAGTTTCCAACTAGTTTTTTTTTTTTTTTTTTAACAGTACCCCCATACAAGCTCAATCACCAGAGTTGAAGAAATGAATTAATAAGACCACAAAATCAGAAGATGTTACTGCACAGATTAAACAATAAAATGATACTCTTGCGGGGGGGAAACTAAGAGAATAAAAAAGAGCTACTAGACATGTAAAACTACTGTATTCAAAATGAAAAACTCAACAGAAGGTTAGGATGTGATACAAAATTGAGGCCATATCAGAAAGTACAGCAACAAGAGAAAGAAAATAGAAATCAAGGAAATCCAAATGTGAAGAATAAATTAAAAAATGAGAGAATAAAGACAAAGGAGGGGTAAAAAATAATTCAAGAAAATTCTCTGATTTAAGGAATAAAGTATCTTATTAAAAGAGCCACAAAGCCATACACAATAAAAATAGACTTACCAAATCACATTTGTGTGAAATTTAAGAATAATCAGTACAGATAAAAGATCCTAAGTTTCCATAAAGAAAAAAATTCAAGCTGCGTGTGGTGGCACACGCCTGTAATCTTAGAGGCAGGGGGATTAAGAAAGGAGGATCGAGAGTTCAAAGCCAGCCTCAGCAAAAACAAAGTGCTAAGCAACTCATTGAAACCCTGTCTCTAAATAAAATACAAATACAAAATAGGACTGGGGTTGTGGCTCAGCTGTAGAGTGCTTGCCTAGCATGTGCAAGGCTCAAAAATAAATATTAAAAAAAAAAAAGACTTGGGCTGGCTCAGTGGGAGAGCACTTGCCTAGCATGCATGAGGCACTGGGTTCAATCCTTGGCACCCCATAAAAATAAAGGTATTATGTCCACCTACCACTAAAAAAAAAAAAAAAAAAATTATAAAAAGACTTAACTCATGGGCTGGGGTTGTGCCTCAGTGGTAGATTGCTCACCTAGTGTGTGTGAGGCCCTGGGTTCGTACCTCAGCACCACATAAAAATAAATAAATCAAAACAAAGGTATTGTATCCAACTACGACTAAAAAATATTAAAAAAAAAAAAAAGACAACATATCAACTAAATTCAATATACAGACTGTTAGATCCTAATTTAAGCATCTGTAAAAACAGATGGGAGGGACTGGAGCTGTAGCTCAGTGGCAGAGCACTTGCCTAGCATGTATGAGGCACTGATTTGATCCTCATCACCAGATTAAAAAATCTGCTTTAAAATAACCCAACCCAAAAGGGGGGTTTATACATGAAACAAAACATTACTTGCTGAGTCTGGGTGATAGGTATATGAGATTTCATTATGCTATTCTCCACACTGTTATATATATTTCAATTTTTGTAAACAACAGTTAAAAAAAATTTTCAGGGTAACTTACCACTGGGTAATCGAAGAGAAGACCACACATCCTGAGCTCCCCAGTCTGATGTGAGGGGAGGACAGCTGATAACTGGATATGCAGTGTTACCAGACATCACTGGGCCCAAACCATTGCTTCTGCCTGCCACTGCCACAAATACAGTAGGAATGCCATCCCCTAGGGAAATCATAAGATGATTATTTTGCTAAGCATTTAAAAGATTTAACAATTTTTTTTTTTTTTTTTTTTTTTTTTTAAAAAGAACGTGCCCTTATGTCTTAAATCACTCCTGGGTCAGGTGTAATGGTGCATACCCATAATTTCAACTAATTGGGAGTTAAAGAAAGATGATCTCACAAGTTCAAGGTCAGCCTCAGTAACTTAGGGAGAACCTATCTCAAAATAAAAATTAAAAGGGCTGAAGATTTAGCTTAGTGCTTGCCTAGCATGTGTGAGGTCTTGGGTTTAATCTCTGGTATCACAAAATAAACAAAACCAATAAGTACACTCCTGGAACAATGACCATTACAAGTGTCAATCAACATTTTTTCCAGTAGGGAAATATTTGGTTCGGAACCCAGGAAGCTATTATTTTACATCAACACTGTCTTATCATTTCTTTTACATACTTATATTCTGAATATAAAACTATGTGGCTTCATTTTTAGTGTCTTCCAGGGAAGGTTAACCATTAAAGATAGCAGAGAGGATCTGCAATTTTAACTCAGGCCTCCTGGAACCTCTATGGGGCTTTTCTATTGGAGCACGTTAAGAGACAATGCTCAAAGGGATGCTTGTTAGATTAAGATATCAGAGATCCTCACAGTTCTAGTCTGATTTCCTTCAGGTTTGCATTTTCATTTCTTTTTTCCTGCTTCTTTCTTTTTCAAGCACCCCAGATCTTATGCTCTTTGGAGGTGAGTATCTTGAAAGCATAGCATATTTCAAGACTTACCCTTGGGAATATGGAAAAGCAACTTTTTGGTATTAGTCTAAAACACATTTTTTTTTTTTTTTTTTTGGCAAAACAAACAACACCTAAAATGGTCTAATTATTTGAAGTTTACCTTCATACTCAGCTTTAATCCTCAATGTTTCATCTGGTCCTTTATGGGCAGATGTTACCCGAAGTTCACAGGGAATTCCATAATTTCCACAAGCCTTCTTGATTTTTTCACAGTGGCCAAGATCAGAAGTTGAACCCATCAGTACTACAACCCTGCACTGACTTTCTGATTTCAGAAGCAACTAAAATACAAAAACATGGATATGAAAAAGAACAAGACAAAAATGGACAAACAGGAATGAGTACAATAACTTTTCTGTATAAAGGACAGTGGTCTTCATAATTAAGACCCAATGGAGAAGATTTTAAATCAGATATATAATATTTATTAATAAAATCCTCAAGCCTTTTAATTATTATTCAAGAAACTATAACCAACCATTTCATTCTAAAGATGTTTAACAGCATGATCAGCCAAACTAGAGGTCATATTATATATATTTGTAAGTTGGTTGTTTAAAACAATTAAAAAAAAAATTTTTTTTTCTTGTGGTACCAGGGATTGAATTCCAGGATGCTTCATCACTAAGCTACATTCCCAGTCCCCCCACCCCCACTTTTATGTTTACTTTGAGAGAAGTCTCATTAAGTTGTTGAGGCTGGCCTGCAATCCTGCCTCAGCCTCCTAAATTACTGGGATTACAGGTGTGTGCAATTGTGTCTGGCAACATGGAAATAACGTTCTAAAAGGTGATTATGATCATTGGATAATCAGATACTCCCTCAAACTCCCATGTAACTATAGTAATTGTAATATCATAAAAATTAAAGTGAAGGCTGGGGTTGTGGCTCAGTGATAGAGCACTTGCCTAGCATGTGTGAGGCACCGAGTTTGATTCTCAGCACCACATATAAATAAAATAAATGTCCATTTACAACTAAAAGTAATATTAAAAAAAATTAAAGTGACATTTTATAATTATGTGAAGGGGACTGGGATGTTGCTTAGGCCTGGGTTTCAAAGACCAGTAACATAAAGAACCAAGTAAAATGGAGGGACTGGGGATATAGCTGAGTGATAAAGCACTTGCCTAGCATGCACAGGGGCCCTGGTTTGTTTCCTAGCACCACAAACAAAAACTTTTTAAATTAAAAAATAAAATTACATGGCATTCCATCCATCCTATGATGTTGGCACTGTAGTAGGGAATGGTAGGAAATGTAAAAAGTTTCTCCTACAGGGACAGAGAGTTGACAGGATCCCAGGTTTACCTATCAGGAACTGGAAACAATACACTTGCCAGTTACTAGCAGACAGTTCTAGTATACCAGTAAGGGTAGTAGACTGGGACATTTCGTAAAGGTGTTCCTCTCTTTCAAAGTCACTGAAGAAGAGAAAAACACTATATCTTTCACATTTTATTTTGAAACAAGGTTTTCTTAGAAGAAAAACACATAACAGTACAGGTTTACTACAGAAAATTACCTCTACTCTCTCTGCAACCCACTCAAAGTTTTTCTTTACCATTTGGAGCCCTTCAGGAGTTACTTCTTTGAGGTCACGGTAAGACTAGAAAATAAGATAGGAAGTTAGAAATGATCTGGTTTATGAGTTTTGAGTAGGGAGTGTGATAACTTTTTAAATGAGATATATCTGAAAACGTATCTCAATATAGAAATTCATTCCTAAATTAGAGAAAGTTCAATAGCGAAGTAAAAGTTTTATTTTCCTTTAAGGTTAAGTGCTTTCTACACTAGCATCTACAATTAACAGCCTTGAGAATTCCTGTGTATTAAGCATATAGAGGATCTCAACCTAATTTTTATTAGGAAAAAACAGAATGGAGCTTGATTAAGACCAGAAGACTTGGTGTAGAGTCCCAGATCTGCCAGTTATTCTTGTACTTGTGAAGATACTATCCCCTTAGAGTCTTAGTTTTCAACTAGCCAAACAAGGACAATACTTACTCTGTTAGTTTTTGGAGAGTCAATGAAGATGATAAACAAGAAATCTGCTTTATAAGTTTATTACTAATGTCCAAGATATAGGAGATACTTATCTTTAAAAGTAAATGGAAATTAACAAATCAAGATTCATAAGGATACACACTTTATCTTTCCTTTGTTTTTCCTGTCCCAATCTGATCTTTCAAAGGATAAAAATTCACAGCATTACTTACCTGTTTGTCTTTCTGCTGGCTTCGATCCCCTGATGGCCAGAGTCTCCAGGAATCATTATCAATAACATCAGCAAGAACAATTTCTTTGGTGATTATGTCAACACCAAATTCAATCTAGAAATGGCATATTGCCAAAGAACACGTTTTAAAAAATGATATTACTAAAGACACTTCTCAGTTATAATAACCTTTACTTGTAAATTTCTGTTTTCTAGTACCTTCATATCAACCAATGTACAGTTCTGGGGCAACCAGGATTTCTCCAGTATTTCAAAAATAGCTTGTGTAGCATGATTCATGATGTCCACTTCAGTTTGGCCTATAGTAACTCCAGCAAAGCAAAGTTTTGCAGCAATTAGCTGTTCCTCAGACCACTGTGGATCATTATTGGCATCATCCTAGGAATAAAGTATAGTACTATAATTACAATTTTTTTGAACTTTTCAGAAAAAAGTACTTCTCCTTGAGCATAAATTCCTCAGGAATATTCGTTTTCTCTAAAAAAAAAAAAATTTGTTTAAAATATCCTTTAGTTCAAAGTAATTATTTTTAATTCATTTGCTTTTTTTTTGGTGGGGGGAGTGGGTAACTGGAGTAGAACACACTGGCACTAGACCACAGAGCCACATGCCCAGCCCTATTTGTACTCTGTTTACAGACAGGGTCTCACTGAGTTGCTTAGTACCTCGCTTTTGCTGAGACTGGCTTTGAACTCACGATCCTCCTGCTTCAGCCTCCTGAGCTGCTGGGATTACAGGCATGCGCCATAGCACCCCAGCTAATTTATTTGCTTTTAAAAGCTACTTTAAAATTCAAGATATTTAGGAAAGTAACTTTTTCTAGGTCATAAAGTATTTGAAAGAAATTTGTCTTCTCTCAATAAACAAATTTAAACATAATTTACAATTTTAATATCTATGCTTAACAAGATAGGAGGGGTAAAGTGGTTCAAACAAAGCCTATAAAAAATTATAACCATTGATTCCTATATTCTTATATAGTTTTGCTCAATATGTTTTCCTATATTAGAATACAGAAAGATTTTAACTGTAAATTTTGAATTAAATGTTATATTTCTTCCCAATTAATGTTAAATTTTTAAGTTTGTTCCCTTTCTTAGTCAACTTGGTCTAAGGTAAGTACATTTTCTTTTAAAAACCTGATTTGTCATTGTTAATGAAAGTGTACTTTATTGGCATAAATATCTACAACATTCCCAATATCAAAAACTTCAAAATCTTTTGAGTTTATAATTTTAACTTTGCTGCTACCTTATAGTAAGACACAGAAGCATAAAATAATTACCTTGAAAAACATCTCCACTTTTGGTGGGTAAAACTTATATCCTTCCTTGACACCAGGATTTCTTTTGAGAAAAGAACCAGTTGCTATTCTTCTACAAACCCATTCAATTGGAATCATTTCACACTGGGGTGCAATGAAAGCTGTTTCTCCACATTTTCTGGTGAAAGCAGTTTTGATACCTACATATTGATTAAAAAAAAAAGCACTGAAATTTTATTTAATAAGGTAGATCAGACATTTATCTGCATTACAAAAGGAAACTAAATTTAGTTTGATGCACTCTCCAGTGCATGTTCTCATTCATTCCAGCAATTAAGGAAGCCTTGAAATAAAAACCCTATAACTTAGGAACTATGGATGGTCCTTTAAAGTTATAGCAATATACTAATTTTCAATGCAAAGAGGTATTTAGATACAGATAACAATTCAGGTTTGCAACTAACATTTTTTCCCCCACATTAACTTAAAATGTAAAACAGGATATTTTGGAAGAGGACAAACTACTCCAGGAATGTAATGACACAATGAATTTATGGTTAACTACTCTGTGAATTTGTGGAAGGCAGGTACATCTGTCCTGACTGAAAACAAATGTATTAAACCCCAAATGTGGTTTTAGAAAAGATTAGTGCTTACTGGAAGATAAAAGAAATGAAAGAGTAACTAGGAATATTTTGCATAAGGAAGGAAAGATACTAAATTATAAGATTAGAACTGCAGGAAACAAAGAACAAAGCTCTATGGTTATAGATATGGAATCCAAGGCTTCAAAGATTGAGTGATCCAAGGAAATGAGGCCTCTTACACTATAGGGAAAAAGCCCAAATCTTTTAATAGCAGAGATTTCAAACACTACAGATCAACCAGTAGCTGACTGAATCACTGAAGAAAAAAATTATTCTATTCCCCTTTCTTCCCTCCAAATTGTCTCTATATGACATTTGGATGTTAATTTAGTCTTTTGATTTAATTTTTCTATCATAAATAGTTTTCCTTCAATTTTTAAGTAGTAGGGAACTCTAGAGATCTTTGATTAAGTCCAATTCCCTTTCTTGGGAAATGACAGGGTAAAAAGGTAGTTGCTATCTTCAAATACTTTTGGACTTTAAAATAAATGGAAGAGGGATTTGAAATTCTGTATTGTTTTCAACAGGCAGAGAAAAGAACAATCTATAAAATTTCAGGGAGGAACAGTTCATTAATTAGAGCTGCTAATACAAAGGTGGTCTTCTTTCACAGTTAAGACTGAAGATGGCCTAGCAGAAAGAAATTGCAGAGGGACAGTGTACTTGACAAAGACTGTAGCAAAATGTCAAGGTGTAAAGTAGTCACCCCCAAACAATAGGTTGTTAATTCAAACAATGCCATCTCCCCAATAGAGATCAATGTGATTGGGGGGAGTGGGAGGGCGTGGCAGGGGAGCAATTTACCTCCTTCTTGTAAAAACTAAAAACTCAGCTGATAAGTATCATGTTGTAGACCTAAATAATGTCATTTCCCCATGAAAATAATCAAAATAAGAAAGAAATAAAAAAGAGAGAAAGGAGAAAGGAGAGAGGGAAAGACAGAAAGAGAAGGGGAGGCACTTACCTGCTTCTTGTAACAACTGAAAAATACAACTGGTAATTTTATTGGAGATTGCAGCTTTTCCTTCCAGATGATTCTTTCGGGCTGCATTTCCTGCTGTAATCTGGTCCTTGGACTGCAGAAGAACTTTTCCTGGACTATCTAACAATTCATACACTTCTTTTGTTTTACCCTCATAGAGTTTCTTACCAATGTTCAATACTGTAAACACAGAAAAGGACTCTATCAGATTTTAGTGAGAAATTTCCTGAATATTCAATATTAAAACATCTAGAATGACCAATCAGTGAACTAAGGAAGAACCTTAATAAAAATTAAGACATCTGCATAGAATCTTTTTTTTTTTAAGTTGTAGATGGACACAATACATTATTTTTATGTGGTGCTAAGGATCAAACCCAGTGCCTCACACATGTCAAGCAAGAGCTCTACCATTGAGCCCCAGAGCATCGAATTTTATACTCAAGTTATTTTGTCATGTATCATCATGTAAGCAAAAGCTGGTCTTTGTCTCCAATGCCAATCCAATAACGAGGACACGGTTTTGAGAAAAAGAAAAAAGGTTTATTGCTTTGCTAGCAAAAGAGAAACAAAGGCTGTGATCTTGCCCATTCCAGGAACAGGGGGCTTTTAAAAGTGATTCCGAGAAAATGAGATTAGGCAGGAGAGATCAGGAAGAAGTTTAGGGAAAAGAAAATCAGAGAGAAGCTTAAGGAAAAGAAGATTAAGAAAAAAAAAAGTGTAAGTTTCAAAGCTACAAGGGATATATCAAAGTGTCAAGTGAATCCCTGTTACAATCACATAATTTTATGAAGAAGTCTAATTATTTAAACAATTATAGAGATTAGAAACTGTGACAAAAAAGTCACCCATGTTAGGATATGCAGAGCTAGACAAAATTCTAGGTTTCCTGATACCAAATCCTATATTCTATCCACTAGCAATCTATGCCTCTCACAGGTAAACTGAAACAGAATTAAAATTAAGCTACTTTAAATTAATATAACTAGTACTTTTTATACACAGAATACATTATTTAAATTAGCTTGCAGGGGGAAAAAATGCTGTATTTTTCTTGACTTTTGCTTTCCATGGCAGGCAAAATATTTAAGTTCAGCCAGTAGGTTTCTTGATTTCAAGTTAATATGCAAGAGGCTCCTTCATTTGCTTTTAAGTTAGCTCATCTGTAAGCATCCTTCTTTCTTTTTTAGTACTGAAGAATGAACTCAGGGGCAATTAACCACTGAGCAACATCCCCAGCCCTTTTCGTTATTTTATTTAGAGACAGGTTCTCAAGGAGTTGCTTAGGGCCTAGCTAAAATGTTGAGGCTTTGAACTTGCCTTGCAAATCTCCTGCTTCAGCCTCCTGAGCTTCTGGGATTACAGGCTTGTGCCACCTCTGCCTTCTTTGCACTAAGCAAGGAGCTAACCAACTCAGTGAGACCCTGTCTCTAAATAATATACAAAATAGGGCTGGGGATGTGGCTCAGTGGTCAAGTGCCCCTTGAGTCCAATCCCCGGTACCCCCCCAAAAATAAATAAATATACATTTTTTAGATGAAGATCTAAGATAATAGACGTTTAAGGACTTAAAATTTCCAAAGAAGGAGAAATCAATCCTCATGGTCTCCGAACTCTAGCCCAAGTTTTAGCATTTTCCGAGTGTATCCATGGATAGGTACTGTAGATGTATCAGAAAATGAGACCTAGAACCTGCTCTCAAGGGACCTAACCAAGTCTGAGCAAACCTGATATTAAATATCATAATAAGTATAATGTAATAAATACAGACTATAGGATCACATGTTCATAGCTGTGCCAACTAAACTAGTCTAGAAATCAAAGAAGTCTAGAATAAAGTGAAAATTAGGCTTGAGATCTGAAAATTGATTAAGATTTAGCCAAAAGAAAGTAAGGTATAATTAGTTGTGGTAAGAATCAAAAGGTGATAAAGGAGTACATGGAACTTCAGAATGGCTGAAGCCCTGGAGCTCTAGTTGTATATACACTGCCGGGGGAGAGGGGCATGGGGAAGTAGCTAAGGAATAAAAAAGAACAGCAGCAAATAAGGTAGAAGAGTTGGAATGGGGCTGCATCACCAACTAGTAGGGGTAATGACTGAACAAAATACTGTCAAGAAAGAAAATAAAAATTTTCTTTTAGGGCACTGTTTAGGGCACTTAACATGGACCCTGGAGACCACTGTTGGATTGGGTTTGAGGCACATCAACATGGAAGCCCATCAGTCAAGCACATTGCACACATGCCCCCACCAAGTAAGCTGACCTTTGAAGTAGGCCAAACAGCAGTTTCCTGAAACATTGATAACCTCTGTTGACCTTCTATAGAATGAACCCACTGCCTACCCAAAGACTAAGGCTGTACCCAATTCTTTTCTTATGAGGCAATTTATTTGGCAGTACCAATCATAATTCTGGATTAACAAGTAATGTAATTATAAACCTTCTTGTGCTACTTTGAAAAAAAACTCAAAATCCAATTCAAGGCTATTGAAATTTGTGTTTCTGGCTGCAGATTGCAATCCTAATTAGCTCCAAGAAACATTTTTTCTTTGTTCTCAGCCAAGCTAAATTTTATTCTTGATAGACACTGATGGCAATTCAGGGGCACCTAATTCAGAGGAATAATTTCTGCCTTCCTAATGTAATATCCAGACATGTTAACAAGGTTTAAAAAGCCCTTCAGGGTATAGCTCTAGCTTGCTATTCAAAACTCATTTCTCCATTCCCTTCCTAGAACCCCAACTTTCTTAATTTTTATGACTCTCATAAACCTTTTGACAATTTCTCTCCTAGGCCTGATACTAGACTCACAGATGAGACATTTTGCTACTCATACTTTAAGCTTTTTAAACCATGTTTATTCAATTTAGATATCCTAAGAACAACTAGGCTTTTAAGCACTGAAGTACAAGGATAGATCTGTATTTGAATCCAGTTTAGGATGGTACTGCAGCAATACAGACAAGTAATGTCCTGATCTACGGAAAGAGCAATGGGCAAAGACTGAAGATATTTAAAAAACTGAGGAACAACTGATTCAGTAGGGAGGATAAATGAGAGGCAAGAGTCAAGAATGTGGCAAGATTAACTATAGGATAAATATGTTAACTTTAGGCTTTGAATACAGCCCTTGCTGCTCTGCCACTGCAACTTATTTTTAAAATGCACAAGTTTCTTTCACTCCCAGATCCTCTCTAATCTTGCCCCTCCCTAATCTTCTCCATCACAGAGTTATTTGTCCTTGAGTACACACCCACCATAGGATTGTTAAGTAATCAGACTTTAGGGATAGGTACAAGAAGATCTCAGAAATTACTATCTCCCAAATTAACAAGTGAATCACAACTCTGACAGGTAACACAGGGAATGTAACCTTTGAGTCACCTCTTTAAAAGCCCTCCTGTTCCTGCTGATGGTCAGAATCACAGCCTTTGGGACAGGAGTCCCGGGTGTTTCTCCTTTGCTAGCAAAGCAATAAACCCTCTTTTTCCTTTTTCTCAAAATTTGTGTCCTCATCATTGGATTGGCATCAGGGAAAAGGACAGAGCTTTTGGCAACACTACAAGTGTGAAAATGACTTACCAGAAATTCACAGATGAATTCAGAAGAGACTGATGAGAACTGAGAAAGGTTCACAGAACTGAAATTTAAGATTTGCAAAGCATAGACTAATAAGATGAGAATTAAGAATATTCTAGGACTGTGCTGTCCAATAGGTAGCCACTAGTCAATGTGGCTGTGAATATGCTCCATATTCAATATGAAAAAAGGCAACATTTCTCAATATGGCTACTAGAAAACAAATTTATAAGGCTGGGCATAGCGCCTGTAATCCCAGAAGCTCTAGAGGCTGAGACAGGAGGAATCCAAGTTCGGAGTCGCTAAGGAACTCAGCCAGACCCTGTCTCCAAATAAAATATATAAGGGGCTGGGGATGTGGCCCAGTGGATAAGCCCTTTGGGTTCGAAGCCCATAGTAAAAAAAAAAAAAAAGAGGGAGAGAGTAAATAAATCACACTTGGTTTTCATATTTTTATTAGCTAACACTGCTCTATGAAAAAGTGTGAGCAAAATGTGTTTAACAAGAAATAAAATTTGGAGAGGTAACCTGAATGGAAAATGGAACAAAATCAAAGGACTTCAGTAGAAAAGACCTCAATATATAAGTTTGGATGAAAAGAACTTCTGACTAGTTTTTTTTTCCCTTTTCTTCTTCTTGTTGGTGCATTATAATTATATACAATAACTGGATTCCTTGTTACATATGCATACATGCACACAATAGAACAGTATATTTGGTCAATTTCCCCCAGTACCAACTGTATTTAACGGCTCTAGGGATACCAACTATAAACATTTTTAAGGAGAAGGACCTTTTATTTTTATTTATTTATTTTATTTTTAATATTTATTATTATTATTTTTTTTTTAGCTTTTTGGCGGACACAACATCTTTGTTTGTATGTGGTGCTGAGGATCGAACCCGGGCGAGCGTGCTACCACTTGAGCCACATCCCCAGCCCGAGAAGGACCTTTTAGAAACTGTAAAGGCAAGTTTGAGAAAAATTAACATGTCAGTGGAATGCAATTTGCTTCAGTATAAACTTCTAAACCGGTGTGTGTGGATCAAATCACTCAGGGACAAAATAATTATGTAACTGCAAATTTTGACAAACGCAAAGTAAAGTAAGGAAAACTTTTTCGCCTATGGGCTTTGGAAATTTCTAAAGCTATCAAGGCATCAAAGAATACTTTTTTGAATAATACTATCAAACCACTCAAAACTTAAACAAATTTTTCAGGTTAAATTATTAACCTTACGAAAAGAAGGGGATTAACCAATCAGGAAAGGCAAGCCTTTGGTTTGAAGAGTCTACGCTAAATTTTCACGTGCTTGTTTTGCAACATCTATTGATGACCTTTTCAAGGCAATCTTTGACTATTTCTCGTCCTAGGCACCCTCTTACTCTACTTTGCTCCTCTTCCTCCATCAGAGAAGCAGTTTTATGAATTTAGGAGAGTTCGGAGAGGCCCGGGGTGCTTCAAGTCCAAAGAAGGTCCCGGCGCCTGGGCCACGTGTGCGCTCACTCACGGGCCTACGTGCACGGCTGCAGGGAGGCCGAGCAATGCAAAGAGCTCACTGGAATCCAGCCGCGGAGCCCGCACCACCGCCAGAAGGCGGGGAGATCGTTGAGTAAGGGGAATAGGTCTCCTGTTACTCACTTTCAGCTGTCGCCATTATTCTGAACGGACTGGAAGCAGCGACCACGCTAGGAAAAGCGGCTGAAATCTGGAAAAGAAGAGCGGCAAGAGAGATTCGCAGGGCCGGGGAAGGAAGTTCCGCCCACAGACACGCCCCCTGGAGGGGCAGCGTAGCCGCGCGCCGCTCAAATCGAGTTCGCCTACACAGACCCAAATCAGAGGGTCTCTACAACTGGGGAGAAGCTTCGACTCCCAGAGCGCTTACGAGAGGTTTCCTGCCGCGCAGGCGCAGCGACGGCACCCCGCCTCCAAGCCGCCCCGTACACTGTTCCTATAGAGGAGAAAAGTGGCGCGCACTGGCGGCCCCTCCCCACGCTGCAAAGCTTGTAGACTGGGGCCCCCTTCTTGCCAGAGGGAGCGGTTCATAGGTTGGAGCGTACCAAGTCGTGATGGGGGAAAGCAGGGAAAAGGACATGTAAAGTTTACATGTTCTCAGAGAGAAATGACTCCAACCCCGTTACTTTCATCATTCCCGATGTGGATGCTGGAAAATAACGGAGATAGCCACGTGCAGATAAAATAGGTTCTGGTACATAGCCAGAGGAAGACTGGCTCCACCCCCATGAAATCCGCGACTCCTCCCCTCGGCCGCGGAACCTCTTCTCCCGCTCTCCCTCATTGGTGGCCATGGGGGACGGGGCCTGGTGGTGATGAGATGGTCACGCCCACTAAGCACGCGCCGCCGCAGTAGCCTAGGTCTAGCCGCGGGGAAGGAAGCTGCTGTCTATAGCGCCAGCCTCTGAGGCTCTAGGGCCGTACAGGCAGCTGTTTGGTCCTAGTACCTCGGCTGCGGCCGCGAGCTCCTCCACGTGCTTTCGGCAGCGACATGGAGCTGGAGGAATTGGGGATTCGCGAGGAATGCGGCGTGTTCGGGTGCATAGCTTCTGGAGAGTGGCCCACGCAGCTAGATGTGCCGCATGTGATCACTCTGGGACTCGTGGGGCTGCAACACCGGTGAGCAACTGGGTGAGGGGTAGGAGTGGGGGTGGCGAGACAAGTGCTTTTACATCTCTGTGAGCCGCTTCCCGCGTTCAGGATTGGCGCTCCGTTGAGCTCCCAAGAACTAGAAGGACAGAGCACTCCTGGACCAGTACCTGCCAGTGGCATCCAACAGGTTGTGGGGGAGGGGAGTACCCTGCCTCCAGGGACTTTAGCCTGTCCTGGCCACCTTTCCAGTCCCTATTGCCCTTTAGGGACCCTCCCCTCCCCCTGGGTCTGTGCACATCTGCTGAGTCTGGCTAGTTTGTAAGGCTCGGGTTTGCTTGGACTAGCCAGGTCGGGGCTCATGCCCAAGTGCGTGCAAGTTCTGACCCAGGAGCTACACTTGTTATAGGCATGTGTGGAGTGGCGACTAGTCCAGGTCCTACAACACTTTCAGATTTTCGCGCCGGACTTCCAAGCAGCACAAGCTTTTGTTTGCAAGGCCAGAGTTATTGGGCAGATTGTGAGTTTGAAACTAGTTACAGCTATAGGAACTAGAATCTTAGAGTCCAGACCCAGGGAAACAACTAGTTGGTGTTCAAAAGGAACAACGGTCGTAGAGTTCATATGAATTGGCAGGAAATATACCAATCTCAGGAAATCGATTCATTGATACACTTTTAAATATTGAATGAAAACGTTGGTAGTAAGATGGCAGAAATCAACTCTTCTTTAAAAAAGAGTAGTATTTGTATGCCAAGAAACACACTGATTTGGAAAAATTGGGAGATCACTTCGAGGTATAAATAAATACACCTTTGCTTCCATTCTTACTACCTGACCTAATATACCTAATGGGAAATTATATGATTTGGTTGGAGTAAGAAATGCAGATTTAGGCTTGACATTGTCACTGCAGTTTTCATAAGGCAACATAGTAGCGACAACTTCTAGAACAGTTAAGGAACTGGGCTGTAACCCTTATCAGCAATATGGGTGCGGCATGTATAAATGCATTCCAAATGATTAGCTTTCCCTCACCAAATAAAATTATAAGTAGTCTTTTTGCTTTTTTTGGAGTCCCAAATACTTGAATTTGAGTTTGACATTTTGTGTACAATTTGTTTATTTAGTAGCTCTCAGAATTTGGGATGAATCAAAAAGAATCTTTTTAATATGAATAACTCTAATCTTGGGTAATTGTGAGTTGACCATAATGATTTCCCATTTAAAATGAAATTTGTTTCAGGGTATCCCCCAGTGACTCTGGAGGCTGAGGCAAGAGGATCAGGAGTTCAAACCCAGCCTCAGCAATTTATTGAGGCCCTTTCTCAAAATAAGCATAGAAAGGACTGGGGATGTTGCTCAGTGGTTAAGTGCTCCTGGCTGGATCCCTAATACCATCCACCACCCCACCCCCGTGCGTGTGCAAAAAAGAAAGAAAAAAAATTTGTTGAATTAGATATATAATCCAAGGAGAAATTAAAATCTGATTACATGGCTCTGAGTAACATTGGTTTATCACAGTCTTAGAAGTTATTTTAAATACATTCCAAGCGGGTGGCAATGGATCTGGTGATCTTACAGTTATCTAGTGATCTATGGGAAATAGATGAACTGATCTTAATTTGTTTTTTCTTAACTATGCTTACTTTTCAGCCAAAATGGCTCAGAAAGTTCTTTCCATCCCCGTTTTTGCCTCCTCTTTAAAAATGTGCCAGAAAGAAAAGGGGTAATTTGTTTTTGTGCTGTTGGGGGTCAACCCACTGTTTTAAAATTGAGTACAATTCGAGTCCTAGTTACATGTACTTGTTTACTACAGTTGCTTTTTTGTACTTTATTGCTTTTTTGTGAAAGAATTATGCTATTAGATAATACAAAATAAGAGCAATAAAGATAGAATTATGTGGTAGTATAGCAGTATTAAATGGATTCCAGGAGAGAGATCATGAATTGAAATCAAATTCCATGCATATATAAGTTTGTTGGGATGAACCCAACTTCTATGTAATAACTATAAAGCTCTAATAAAATTTAAAAATAAATAAATAAATAAGTGGTCCAGGCGTGGCGGCACACCCCTGTAATCCCAGCAGCTCTGGAGAATGAGACAGGAGGATCATGTTCAAAGCCAGCCTCAGCAAAAGTGATGTGCTAAGCAACTCAGTGAGACCCCGTTTCTAAATTAAAAAATACAAATTAGGGCTGGGGATATGGCTTAGTGGTTGAGTGCTCCTCAGTTCAATCCCCAGTACCAAAAAAAAAAAAAAAAAGAATTCTATTAAGCTGGTCCTTTGACTAAATAAGACTTCATTAGGAGACTGTAGTGCCGAAAATTGATCTTGTGGTTTTTTTTGTTTCTTTTCAACAACAGTGGCAAGAAACTCAATAGTTTGTGAGGAACTAATGTAATGGAAAATGGTTAGGTTTTTCTTTTGTAAATGCCAAGAGTGGGGTTGGTTCAGACTTTAGGAGATCCAATTTTAATTGGAAAATCAATGAAACTTTCTTATGTCTAGAAGATATAATAATTGTTGCTCTAAAACAATAGGCAAGGATCAGACAAAAATAAAGAAATTTTGCAATGGAGGATACTGGGGGTTGAACTGGGGTCTCACACCTGCTAAGCACGCACTCTCACTTACCTGTGCACCCCCAACCCCAAGAACTAATATATTTGTATGGTATTAAACCTAAAATCCTAGATCTGTGTCATAGCTTAATATACAGTGGAATTGGTTGTATATACTGTACGTTGACAATTGGTTGGGTTTGGTTTTTTCCCTTTTGGATGAAGTAATTTATATCTTTTATACATTATTTCCTTAACACATGGAATCTTTTTTTTTTTTCTTGGTACTGGGGATTATACTCAGGGGCACTCAACCACTTAGCTACATCCCCAGCCTTTTTTGTATTTTATTTAGAGACATGGTCTCACTGAGTTGCTTAGTGCATCACTTTTGCTGAGGCTGGCTTTGAACTTGCAATCCTCCTCTGGAGGCTCTCAGACTCCAGAGCTGCTTCATATAAAAACAAGTAGAGCATCAGTTACTTTACTAAACAATCATGAATTGGACATACAATTCAGATGGGTTTGCCCAGGATTACTTGTTTTTAGTAGTACTTCTGGCTATTTGCAGCTTTATTTCATAGCTCTGCTTTTCTGTCAAGGAGAATGTTAAAAATGTTAACTAATTGTCCTCTTAGCTGTAAGTTGCATGTGGGTATGTGCAGATGTGTTCATATCAGATTTATGTAATCACCAAATGTTGTTTTGGTACTGAAAACATCAGTTTGCAGGCTTCTGAACAAACCAGACCTGCCTTGTAGATGAAACATTTTCATCTTTAAACTACAGTCACATTTTATGGAGAACAGAACGGCCTGGACATATCTGAAGATTCCATTAAATGAATTATCCCATTAACCAGCTGGTTATCCTTTCTTTAATGCTATGGTTTAGATGTGATTTATTCCCCAGGGATTCATGTTTTGGAAGCGTGGTCCTCTTTGTGGCAGTTATAAAATAGTGGAACCTTTAAGATGGAACCCAGAGGAAGGTGGTTAGGTCATGGGGGCATTGTCCTGGGAGTGGATTAATCCTGGTCTCACAGAGTGAGTTCTTTCCAGAGTGGATTGTTACTAAAAAGTAAGCCTGGGGCTGGGGATATGGCTCAGTAGTAGAGTGCTTGCCTAGCATGCATGAGGCCCTGGGTTTGATTCCCTGGTACCACACACACAAACACACACACAAATGAGCCTATCCCCTGAATTACTCTTTGGTATTCTCTCTCATCATATAATCTCTTGCTCTCAGGAGGATGAACTTTCTTGGACTTTCAACCTCCCAAACTATGAGATAAATGAACTTCTTTTATTTATATAGTACTTAGCTTCAGATATTTTGTTAAAGCAACAGAAAACTAACTAATGAACGTGAACTTGGTTAGCTAAGAAATGAGCATGCCCTTTCCTTCAGTCAATTATCAAGTCCCTAGGTTTAGAATTGAATTCAGCAACTGGTAAACATTTTCATACTCTTCTAAAAAATTATGAAATTTACCTGATAAAGTTGAGTTTCCTGTCTGAAGAAACATTCTGTAGAATATTTTGGTTCTGTTATTATGCTTTGAAGAAACTGGTTTGTACTAATCCCAGGAGCAGTTTTCTTAAGAGATGTAGATACTGGTTCTGCAAAGAAGAGTATATAACATTATCACTAGAAAGGTACTCATGAAAAGATGCACTCAGATAAATCTCTATGGAATTGGTTCCCAGTTGTCTTCATTTAGTGTGTTAGAGAACACAGGAGGAGGATGTCAGACAACTTGCTTTTGGATGCCAATTAAGGCTGGAGATATATTCCCTTATTTTGATTTTTATCTTTTAGTGAAAATAACCAAGTATATAATATCCTATAGGGTTTTACTTTTGTACCCTATTATTTATATTCTGTATCCAAGTCAAGTGATTTTTGATGTGAAGAAGTGACTTATTTTAAAACTGTCCTTGCTAATTATAGGCAAAACAGGTGGTAGGGGCTAAGTGATCTTACGCTAATATATGTAACATGCTTACAACAGTACCGGGATATATGCCCTGTCTTTGATTTTCCAAAGAATTTAATAAAGTGATTCTCTATTTAAGATCATAAATGTTTTTTCTTCTATTTATAACTATTTTATTTTAGAACTTTGTTTTTTGCATTAGTCTGAAGCAGAATTTATGCTTCTTCCCCATCTCCAGAGTCCCACAGGACACTGCTTTGTTACTGGTCAAGATTGCAAAGAGCCATAACATAGAACCTGTTTCAGGTTTACCAGTAACATGGTTAATCTTGGGCAAGTCTCATGATTTCTGTGTCTGTTTTCTCATCTACTAAGTTAGAAAAAGTCCATGATGAAATTCAGTTGGTTCAGAATGGTGCTTTTATGCAGTTAAACCGTTAGCAATTTCCCTTTTCCCTAGCATTTCCACTGGTAGGCATGAAGAGGTAGCAAAGGTGGGGCAATTAATCTGACTTGCATTTATATCCAGAAATGGAGAAATGAAATTTTTAGCTAATTTGAGATGAAAAAGTTTATAAGAGGAGGAAAGTCAGGGAGGCAGAGTTCCTGTTGTTCTCTAATATAGTCATGCATCTTTTTAACTCTTGTAGTCTGAGAAGTGTGTCATGAAGCTATTTTGTTATAGTTCACAACCTAGCATATACTTACACAAACCTATGTGGTACATGTCAACTCAAGTGTGGCCTCTTGAAGATGCAGTCAGGAGACTTGGGAAATGTGAAATGTATGAGGCTATGGGTAGCATAACATAGAAAACTGTTTTAAAGTAAAATTTTTTATAAGTAAGAGTACACTCTTAATAAAGTATAGTATAATAAGTATAATAAGTATAAAGTAATATATAAAAATAAAGTATAGTATATAAGTATCATGGTTGCTTATTATCCATTATTGTGTACTGTATGTAATTGTCTATGTAATGCTTCATAGAACTGCCAGTGCAGACTTGTTTACACCAGCCTTAACCTTATCACAGACACTTGAGTGATGCTTTGCTTTATGACATTATCATGCTTATAGCATAACCTAGGTGATAGGTGTGCTTAGGTTCATCACAGTCTTCTGGGATCGCTATGGTATATGTCATCCATCATTGATAAAATGTTATACAACACATGACTCTACTCAATATTATCTTTTGAGCTCCTACTGTGTACATACAAGGCACTATGGTAGACAACTGGGAACACTGTATTACACAGGCAGATGTGGTTCCTGCCCTCACAAAAGAGGCAGTGTAGCCCATTGGTTCAAGAGTACAGGCTTCTGTAGACTTCTCTTTCCTCATGGTAAATCAATATATTTGTTGTGGTAGAGACTAAATGTGTTAATATATGTAATGTGCATGCCCTATGATTTGTACCCCACTCCTGGGTATGTACTCAACAGAAAAGCATGCATTTTTTTTTTATTATTCATAATGGCCCCAATTTGAAACAACTGGCATGTCCCAACAGTGGAATGGATTTTTAAAAAGTGGTCGGATGTACATTCCTACAATGGAATGTTCTATAAATTTACTTGTAATAAAAAAAGAACTTTTATTACAAGTAAATTTATAGCTCTTATAAATAATGTTGGATGAAAGAAATTTGCCATTTAAAAGTTGATAATAAAAAATGAGTACATACGGTATGAATCCTGAACCAATCCATAGAGACAGAAGTCAGAATAGTGATAATCTTCCTTTCCTGGGGATGTGGAGGAGTTAATGACTGGGAGGCTTTTAGGGTCCTCTGTTTTTATTTGGGTAATGATTACATGGGTGCATTCACAACATAAAAATGTGTTTGATTCTTCAATTATTGTATTTGCTCAAATAAAAAATGAACCTACAAAACACTAAAACTCTATTATCCTAGAGATCCAGATCTGTTGTGTTGAGTGGTCAGAGAGAGACTAGAATGGAGGTTTTTTTCTGATCCTCAGGCTGTGTATTCTTGACACATTCAGCCATCTGTATCCATGACTTCTGCATCCATGGATTCAACTAGCTGAAGATTGGAAATATCTTTTAAAAATTGCATCTGTTCTGAACATATACCTCCTTTTTTTTTCTTGTCATTATTCCCAAAACAATATAGTGTAACAGTTGTTTACATACAATTTGCATTGAATTGGGCGTTATAAGTAATCTAGAGATGATTTAAAGTATACCAGAGATGTGTGTAGTTTAGATGCAAATACTATCCTTTTTATATAAGGGACTTAAGCATCTGCATATTTTGGTATCCATTTGTGGGGGCCCTGGAATCAGTCTCCCTGGAGATACCGAGGGCAAACCATATAGCAGTTTTCTTTAATATGGTGTACTACAGTTATACTGCCTTTTCTGATATCTGATGGATCAGTGTGGAATCAGCGCACATTCAGTTGACTTCAGAGTTTGGCTTATTTTCAGATGTACTAAAACATTATACCCATTATTACCTACCTTTGGGGTAAATGAAAATTTAAAGCTTATTAATTTGTGGACACTTTTTTCTCCTTTAAAGAACCATATCTGACAATAGTCACTATAAAGAATAATTTAAAGACTCATGATTATTGTATAGTTATTTAACTCTGGGCAAGTTTCCATTTATTTTTAATCTTAATGACCTATGGAAAAAATCATTTCTCAGCATTCTGTGCTCTCACAGTTCATAAGCAATATATTTTGTCTAACTTATCAAGGTCAGGACTAAATATCTTTTGTTATCAGGAAAAAGCAACCAAAGTTTTTCACAATGTAGAAAAACTTGTCATTTCTCAGGCTCTTACCATCTTTGTGTGCTTTTCTCTTGATGCTCAAAGTTCCTTGGCTTTTGGTCTGACCTTCAAATAATTCTTAAAACAAATAAAAAAAAAACAACACAGGAAAAGAACCATTACATGATAATTTTTGATCTACGTTAGTTTTAAAGTATTCAAATATACCAAAGTAAGAACATTTAAGCAATTGGACAAAAGAGTTGAAAAATTAGGAATATTTTGGTACAAGGTTTAGAAAAAACTTGAAACTCAAATCAGATATGTGTTTTCTAATAATTTTATGGTTATTTGAACATATGATAGTATTAGGATTTTATTTTTAGAGTTTTTTTTTCCCTTGCTAAGTTAAAATGCAAATAGGAAAGTTTAAAGATTTTTTTTTTGTTGTTTTAAAGTTAATTCTTAGGTTACCATATTTTCATCTGGCAATTCTAAGAATTGGTCTTCTTAGAATGCAGTCCAGCTTCTTCATTAAAAATCTCATTTGTCTTTGAGAGTTGCCATTTTTCTATTGTAAAACTCTACATTTTCTCTTTTTGTTGCTGTACTGGGGATTGAACCCAGGAGCACCATCACTGACCTACATCCCCAGGCTGCTGCCTCCTACCACCCCTTTTACATCCCTTTTTATTTTATTTTGAGAAAGATCTTGCTAAGTTGCCCAGGTTGGCCTTGAACTTGCTAGCCTCCTGCCTTAGCCTCCCAAGTTACTGGGGTTATAGGCATGTGCCATTTCTCCTGTCACTGTACTCCTATTTAAAATCTGTATATTTGCCAGGACACTATTTTCAGTCTGTATCTATTCCACACTGCATTAGTCTTCTGGCAATTTCCTCAAATATTTCTTTGTTTCTTCTGTTGCCTTCAAACATTTGTTTTTGTTTGTTTGTTTGCATACCATGAATGTTCTGACCCACTTTTAGATCAGTGTTTCCCAGCCTCTGTGTCACTCACTCTTATGAACTATAAATGACTTTTAGCATATTTTAAAGGAATGTGATTGATTTCATGTGAACCAACATGATTTGTCTTTATCCAGACTTATAGATAATTCTTGTATTTGAGTATCATTCATTTGAAACACCTGGATTGCCATAAAATACCAAGAATTACAATAATAGTTTCAATGTAAGGGTCAATTTAGTAAGAAGTAGGATGGGGGAGTATGATGGTACAGTAATCCCTACAGCTCAAGAAGCTGGGGCTGGGGATGTGGCTCAATGGTGGAGTGCTCCTGAGTTCAGATCCCGGTATCAAAAAAAAAAAAAATTATAGCCTTGAGGCCAAGAGCATTTGCTTTCTCTGGCTCGCTCACTCTCTCTTTTTTTTCTTATTTTTCTTAATTAGAAATATTTCTTAATTAGAAATATATATGACAGAATGCATTTTGATTCATTGTACACAATTGCAGCACAACTTTATATTTCTATTGCTGTACACCGTATGTGTAGTCACACATGTACCTAGAGTGATGATGTCCATCTCATTCCACCATCTTTCCTACCCCTGAGCATTTGTTTTCTTAAATCAAAGTTCAGATGTGGGAAATACCTCCTTCAAAAATCTTGCAAATATTTTGTATTTTAAACTTCACAGAGCAGTCTGTTGTACTTGGGAGTACAGTAACACTTGCAGACCCAATTTGGTGACGTCTTTCATTGACGTTTTAGTGCTTGATAAAGAACTTTTGTATCTGTTCTCATTTGATCCTCATTGTAGCTAAGAATATCTCTCATTGAAGTTCAGGTGAAGATTTAGTGGTTTTAGACATTTTTATGTTGACATTCCAGAAGAGTTTAACTAGGCCAATCAAGACAACTAGATAGGGCATAATATTTTAAAGGAACTGATGGTGCTTAGCCCAGTAAACATACTTCTGGTGTACTGGATGAATGAATGGATAAGCAAAATGGTACGTCCATACAATGGAATAGCATTTAGCCTTAAAAGAAGGAAATTCTTATTTATGTTACAACTTGGATTAATCTTGAAGACACTGTACTAAGTGAAATAAACCAGATAAAAACATTAATTATATAATTCTACATATGAGGTACCTAGAGTATGAAATATTAAAATAAAAAGGCCGGATATGGTGGCACACGCCTGTAATACCAGTGGCACAGCAGGCTGAGGCAGGAGGATTCTGAGTTCAAAGCCAGTCTCAGCAACTTAGCAAGGCCCCAAGCAACTCCGTGAGACCCTATTTCTAAGTGAAGTATAAAAAAGGGCTGTGGGTATGGTTTAATCCCTTGTACAAAAAAAAAACCCAGAAAGTAGAATAATGGTTTCCACAAGGTAGGGAAAGTGGGAATGATAGTTTTTCTTTAATGGATACAGAAAATTCTGTTTGAGATGATGAGAAAGTTCTGGTGATGAAGAGTGGAGATATTTGCATGATGATGTGAATGTACTCAGTCTACTAAACTGTACACTTGTGGGTGGAAAACTGGTAGTTTTATGTGTATTTTACCACAGTGGAGAAAAAAGCACTTGTACTACATAACAGTATCTTAATAGCCAAAATGTGGAAAGAACCCAAAAGTCCATCAATTAATGAATGAAAAATATATATGTCCGTAAAGTAGAATATTATTATTCAGCCATGGAAAGGAATGAAATACTGATGCATGCTACTGCATGGATGAGACTTGGAAACATAGTAAATTCAAAAAGCCAGACACAATAGGTCATTTGTTATATTTTGCATATGATGTAACCCCCAAAAGCTCCTGTTAATGCAGGAATATTCAGTGGTGAAGTGATTGGATTATGAGAGCTATAACCTGATCAGTTCATCCTAGTTTGAGTGGACTAATTGGGTGGTAACTCTAGGCAGGTGGGTTATTGGGGGCGGAGGGGGTGCCCTGGAAGGGTTCATCTTCCCTTCAGGTACTTCTTTATCTGCTTACTGGCCATCATGGTGTTCTTCTCACCTTGGGGCTAGAGCAATGGAGTCAGCCCACCATGGACTAAACCTCTGAAACCATAAGCCAAAATAAACTACTCCTCTAAGTTGTTCTTGTTGGGTATTTTTGTCACAATGATGCAAAGCTGACTAACATCATTTATATGAATTTCCCGGACAAGGCAAATCCATAGAGACAGAAAGTAGATTAGTGGTTGCCAGGGGCTGTAGAGGAATGGTTGAGCACTTAAATGTCTTCTAGTGGATATGGGTTTCTTTTGGGGCTCATCAGAAATTTAGTAGTCATGACTCTGAATACACTTAAAACAAAAATTATTACTTTAATAGGGTGGATTCGATTGTATGTAATTTACTCAAAAAAGCATAGTAGTAGGGGTTTGAGAATAGAATAGGGAGGTAAAATGAAGGAGGCCTAGTGTAGAGGCTGATTCAGTACATCTTTGAGAAGTTACAAAGGAACTTCAGAAACATGAATGGCAGTATACTGAGCCTCCACATCCTTCAAGTAGAATCAGGAGCTGTTACCAACCCGAAAACTTAAGCCAGTTTTTATTGGCACAGTTGATTAAATAATTGGTTGCAGAGTGAACTCAGTCTTCAGGCCCTCACCCTTCCCCCCAGGGCAGGTTGATTCCAAGTTCCAACCCTCTAATCACATGGTCTGTCTGTGGACTAGCCTCCATCCTGAAGCTGTCTGGGAGTCCAATAGAGTAACCATTAATGTAAAAGACTCTTGTCACTGGAAATTATAAAGATCTTTGAAAAAAATCTGCCAGGAACAGTGAGACCAAGACTAGATATATTCTTTATTATGCCAAAGGTTCTTAAAAGTTTATTAAAATCTCCATTCTTGTTGGCACATTCCTGTAATTCCAGTGACTTGGGAGGCTGAGGCTGGAGGATCCTGAGTTCAAAGCCAACCTCAGCAAAAGCAAGATCCTAAGCAACTCAGTGAGACCCTGTCCCTAAATAAAATACAAAATAGACCTGGGGATGTGGCTCAGTGGTCTAGTTCAATCCCCAGTACAAAAAAAAAAAAAAAATTATTAAAATCATTAACAGGAAGATTTTTTAAAATTATGACTTTAATTAATAAGTGCCTCTTTTTAAAATTAGCACCTTATCTATATCTGAGCCATCTTTTTTTACATTTATAATTCTTGGGTTTTCTGAAATTTTATCCATCACTTCTGTAATTTCTCTATTGTATTAAAGTGAAGATTTCTTAGAAATATTGGTTTTCACAAAACTAAAGTACATTAGTTTATGTAATAATTTTACTCTGAAGATTATCCAGATTGCATAAAAAATACAAAAATGTTTAAATATTTTATGTTTAAAGAAAATTATTTCCAATTTTGGCCTATTGAAATAAGTGAATTGAAGAACACCTGATTCTTGGCATACCTTGTGATCCAGTAACAATAGGTACTTCAACGCCCCCTACTGACCATCTTATTGATAACTATGGTGATAGTGGAAATTTTAATTTTGAAAATACGTTTCACCACAACCAAAAGGAAAATAGGTAGTTTAGTATTATTCTCATATGAGCAATATGATCTCTTGTGATTTTTAGGTTGAAGATCAGAGTAACTGCCTAATGATTAAAAAACACCTCAGTTTATATCCAAGGTGTTTTTTTTTTAATTTTTAATTTTCCACATATTTTTATTGGTGCATTATAGTTTTACATAATGTGGGATTTATTGATACATATTCATACTTGCACACAATATAACAATATAATTTGGCCAGTATCAGTCCCCAGCACTTCCTCCTTCCCTCCCTGCTTCCCACCCTTTGGTCCATTTCTTCTACTGATCTCCATTTGAGTTGTTTGGTTTTTTTGTTTGTTTGTTTTTTGGTTGTCAGTGGACCTTTATTTTGTTTATTTACTTGTGGTGCTGAGAATTGAACCCAGTGCCTCACACATGCTAGGCAAGCGCTCTACCACTGAGCCACAACCCCAGCCCTCCTTAAAATCATTAACAGGAAGATTTTTTAAAATTATTTCAAAATAATTTTTAGGAGATCTGAAGTATTTTTTTAATCTGTGCATAAAAGTTATGAAGTAAACACCAACCTTAGAAAACATTTTCATTAAGAATTCATGCTTTCCATTTATCTATTTTGTAAATATGAATATTATGCAATAATACCTCATATAATGTTATAGCATTTTAGGTTTAGGAATGTAGATATATATTCATATATATCCCATCATGGAGACCGCACTCTCATCTAAACCTATCTCCCATAGACACATCTCCAAATACTATCACATTGGGGAGATAGGACTTCAACATATGAATTGGGGCTGGGGGACATAATTCAGTTCATAGCAACATTGTATCATATCATCTTAGTGTAATATTCTTTTACCTATATCAGGACTTTGTTTTAAATCTGAAACTGCCATGTCTTCTGGCTTGATACTGATGGAGTCATCTTCAGTGATCTCTCCAGCTGTAGCTTCTAATGAACTGTTTTCCCTCTGAGAGGACACTAAATGTGATTGTTTGCTTTCTATAATTTAGTTTGTTTGGTTTTGGTACCTGGAATCAAACCCAGGGGCTCTTAACCACTAAGCCATATCCCCAGCCCTTTTTTATATTTTATTTAGAGACAGAGACACGATAAGTTGCTTAGGGCCTCACTAAGTTGCTGAGACTGGCTTTGAACTTGTAGTCCTCCTGCCTCAGCCTCCAGAGCTGCTGGATGCTGGGATTGCAGGCGTGGCCACTGTGCCCGGCTCTATGATTTAGATTGCCCACCTTTATACATCATTTTGCCGTAGGTCAGTGTCGGTACTAGGTGTAGATAACTAGGTCTTCTGACATGTAACTAATGTGGTTATCTTCACCTGCATCCCCAGCAATGACTGTACAAACATAATGCCACTACTAATTGCATACTTTATCTCTAGACCCCTTATATTTCAATTTTTATAGAGGCAGCTATATAATTCTGTAGTAGCACCTCCTTTCTCCACAGAAAAATCTTAACTGGGTTTCTCCAGAGATCTTCACCATTTTAGGATTGTCAGCAAAGAGTCTCTACAAAAGAGTTCAGTGTAGATAAACTTTCACTTTTCATGTTGACCTGTTTTACCTAGCCAGGAAGAAATCAGCACTCCAGGTACTGGACACCCCCTTACTAGTTTTTCAGAAACCTGTATCCAGTATAGTAGTTTGTAGAAATGTATAAACAAGGCCTCTGGCCTTGAGCTGGGGCTTCACAGTGATGTCTGCATTTCTAAGATAAGAGAAGTTACAATTGGGCTCTGTGGTAACAGCTTGCAGCTGGGAGGAAAGAAAGGGGAGAAGAAGCTCTCGCCTTCTTGGGTATTGTCTTTGAAGGGTTAACTTGCCCAGAACAGTGAAAGAAAAAGATATTTTTATGTGAACTTCTGCAGACTGGGAACTTCTGAGCCCCTCCCCTTACATGCTGGGTATAAAATTCTGAAACTACCTGAACTTGGGGTTCAGGGGATTGATTACAGCGAAAGCTTTGCCCTCTGAACCTGGCTGCAGCCAAATAAAACTGTTTCCTGCTATCTTTGGTGCCTTACCTCGTCTGTCCCCACAACAATTCTCTAACATACTATTTCCGTTCTTGTTCACCAGTGAACTATGACCACTCTTGTTCAATTAATTCTCTGTCATACCTCTGTCTCTTCCCTAGACACACATTCACACTCCTAGAATTAGGACTGCATCATTTAAGCCAGATCATAAATCTATAGAAACAAGATTAGTAGAGGTGTTTTGGCTGGGGGAGGTGTTTTTAAGTATATTTATTTATTTTGTTTGGTACTGGGTTTTTTGTTTTGTTTTGTGTTTGGTGCAGGAGCACTCTGTCACTGAACTACATCCCCAGCCCTTTTTATTTTGAGACAGGATCTCACTAAGTTGGTGCATCTGGCTTTAAACTTGTGATCCTTCTGTCTCAGCTTCCTGAGTACCTGGGGTTACAGACATCTACCACCATGCCTGGCTGTTAGTAAATCTCTTCAAGACCATCTCATCCAGTCCTCCCATTTTAAGCTTACATCTAGAGATAGTTTCCTCAAGGTTCCACAGCTACTAAGTTAGAACTTGGATTTCCTGTTTCCTGGTCTAGAACTCATTCAGTTTATTTCATGCTATCCTGGCTTTGTGAAAATATTTTGTATTTCTATCTTTTGTGTTAAACTTATTTTAAAGAACTTTATGATGTGTCCCAGAAGAACTTACCCTTTTGGGGGGCTATGTAGGATTGAACTCAGGGGCTCTCAACCACTGATCCATGTCCTTGGCCCTATTTTGTATTTTTTATTGAGAGACAGGGTCTCACTGAGTTGCTTAGTGCCTCACCAAGGCTGAGGCTGGCTTTGAACTTGTTATCCTCCCAACTCAGCCTTCCATGCTGCTGGGATTATAGGCGGGTGCCACCAAGCCCAGCTAGAATTAACCCTTGCAAGACATTCTTAAAGATTTTGTTTTTCTAAGTTCTTTAGTGTTCTTTCATACCTGGGATTATAGGCATGTACCACCATGCCTGGCTGTTATATTTTTACCACAGTTGGTATGAAAACTTGCTTTAACTTGAGGGGTTGCATTTATTAAAATTTGCTTTATTAAGATTAAATGTATGGCTCAGTGCTAGAGCAATTGCCTAGCATGCACAAGGCCCTGAGTTCATCCCCAGTATTGGGGGAAAAAAAAGAAAGAAAAATCCTACCTATCTGGTCTTCCATTTTTACATCAGTACTTTCTGTGGCTTGTTCTCCATCTTGAAGTTCTTGTGATTTTTCTGTCTTGTGTCCTAGAATAGCATCCAACTCGGTAAAGAATTTCATATTCCTAGTCATGCCTAGGTCCTGAGCTGTTCTTACAATCTTGTATTCGTGTTTCAGGTTTTTGTACTTTGTTCGGCACTGCTTCCAGTCTCTCTCTATTCCAGATTTCTGAAGCTTGGCAGCAATTAGTTCAAATATCCTTTTGTTTCTCACTGTTCCCTCTAGTTGTTGTTGGATGCTTTTATCTGACCAGATGCCTATTAAAGCCCTGACTTCTGGCATAGTCCAGTGTTTTCCTCCTTCATTTGCAACAGTTGGAATAAAAGGTGAATTATTAGGAGGCTCCAATATTGATGTAGAGATACCTGCATCAGATGTGAAGAAATAAGAATCATGGATTACATACATCAGACAAGGTAAATAATTGGACAATGGAAGTACAGAACTTGAATCTGTTCAATATCATGACAAAGACTGGCTTGAATAAGGGTAGATCTTCAGTCACATTTTGATCATTGTTCCTCTATAAAGGTTCTTTCCCACTTGTTCACATATGGGCTATTTATCAGTATATAGCTAAAGTTGAACACATTGTATTTATTAAGAAAGCAATATGATTACATAAGAAAAGGACTTTAATTAATTTTGTTTTGCTATAGGACAGGTGTGAATAATTCCTTTTCTGGGGGGGGGTTAAAAACTGCTACTCAAGTGCCTCCCTCATCTTTCTTCTCAAGATTGGGATTTTCATGTGCATTGGCTGGGAAGAACCACACACAATCAGTATTTACTCCTTTGGAAATTAGAGGAAGATCAAATGACATTTTAAGTGAAATGCTACCTTCTTTTATTGGTAGAAATTCTTTAATATCCCATGGTGCTTTCACATTAGGTCCCTAAGTTAGTTTTGCAATTCACTTTATATAAATGATATCAATTAATGTTATACTTGGCATCATATTGGTTATTTTAACAACCATATTGTTTTTCTCAGATTTTGTGTTAGGTTTAAATAAGTTGTAAATTATTAGAAAATACCATATAGCTGGGCATGGTGGTGTACATCTGTAATCACAGTGGCTTAGGAGCCTGTGGATTGCAAGTTCAAATGCAGCCTCGGCAACTTAGTGAGGCCCTAAGCAATTTAGTGAGACCCTGTTTCAAAATAAAATATAAAAAATGAGCTGGGCATATGGCTCAGTGGTTAAGTGCCCCTGAGTTAAATCTTCAGTCCCAAAAGAGAAAAAATAAAAACAAAAACCGAATAGAATTTACTTGCAATAGATAGTAGTTTTTATTTTGTGGTATATTTAATATCACTATTTTGAAATGCTTTTCAGTAATTTTTTTCTTTATTTGAGTTAGAAATAAGTTATTATTTGGGTTAGAAATGAGTTTTTTGCTTCTACCTTCAATAATACATTGGAAGCAAAGAGTGGATTGACATTGGATTTAATTAAGAATCCTTGATCTCGTGGACTTAATATTACTTATTTTCAGATGTGAAATTCTGTTTGTCTTTTACCCCCAGAATACCAAATGTCAAAACAATTATGTTCATTACTATAAATTTAGCCATTGCAGTTCTTATAAAATTAAAGAAAAAAAGTTAGAAATTAGAGTAAGTATTTCTATAGAACTTTTTTTTTTTTAAAGAATTTTTTAATATTTATTTTTTAGTTTTCAGCGGACACAACATCTTTGTTTGTATGTGGTGCTGAGGATCGAACCCAGGCCGCACTCATGCCAGGCGAGCGTGCTACCGCTTGAGCCACATCCTCAGCCCTCTATAAAACTTTTTGTTAAGGAAATCATTTGCTTTCAAAATGACTTTTCAGCCTAAGCTCGTACAGGAAGTGTTTCTGTCAGGAAACACTGTCCATGTTCTCAGATTAGAAGCAGTCTTTCCAATTTGAAATTAGATCAGTTTCATAACGTTTTTGGCCCTTCATACTATACCTAGTTCCATTGGTCTGACATGAGAAACCAAAAGCAAAGGATTTCCTGAGATATCTTCTTTATCTTCTAATGGAACTGACATTTTGCCTGGAAGGAGAACAGAATTCCTTTTAGAAATAAGTACTAAGGGAAAAAAGTTGAATTAACATAACTGGCAAAGCTAGTTGCTAAAGCTGAATTGATCATATTCATGAAAATAGATTTGTGATGGACATATTTTGTAATAAAATGGTATAATATGGCTTAATAAAATGGCATAATATGGCTTAAGTAATTTTTTTCTATTCCATTTACTTGGTTTATTTTGAACTATTAAAATTGTTTGATTTTGTAAATTTCCAAGGAGGATTGTGATTAATTTTCATTTGGGTTAAATTAACCCCAGCTGTTTGGGAGGCTGAGGCAGGAGGATTGAAAGATTGAGGCCAGCCTAGGAAACTTAGAGAGACCCTGTCTCAAAATAAAAAATAATGACTGGGGATATAGCTCAGTGGTTGAGGGCCTCTGGATTCAATCCCCAGTACTACATCAATAAATAAACAAACAATTAAATAAGATGTGTTTTATTTGTTTCTTAGGTGCTTTAACACAGTAGGGACTTTTATAAATGCTACTGGTAATGTACAAGAGGAATATACAATGAAAAGTTTAATCAGAAAATGTTTTACTGGCACATAGAAACAAACAGCTTAAGAGTTTTTGTGTATTATATAATTAATTGACATACTAAACATTTCAGAAATTTATCAAAATTACTTAAATGTGGTAAGAGATGTATCATTTAAAAGAACCATACCAGACCTTCTTTTTAAAAAAAAAATATTTTCTTAGTTGTCAATGGACATTTATTTTATTTATTTATATGTGGTGCTGAGAATCAAACCCACTGCTTTACATATGCCAGGCAAAGTACTCTACCACTGAGCCACCACCCCAGCCCTCCCATGCCAGACTTAAAAGAATGAAATCCTTCCTTGAGCTCCTTGTTTTATGGTTTGGCGGTTTCTATGCTTGCTTTTATAGAGGAGGCAAAGGCTACTTCCTAAAGTAATCAGATAAGGAGCTTAATTCGTGTTTGTGGTTCTGGGATCGAACCCAGGTCCTCACACATGCCAGGCAAGTGCTCTGTCACTCATCTACAACCCCAGCCTCAGGAGGATGATTTTTTTTTTAATTAATTGATTTAATCTTAATTTGTTATATATGACAGCAGAATGCATTTTAATTCATATTACACATAGGAGGATGCTTTTTTTAAGGGAAAAAAATAAATCTTTGAAAGGAACCCAACAATGACAATGAAGCTGCCAGCTAATCAGGAGGGGTTGAGTATATTTTGATTGCTCTTTGTAATTTTTTAAATTAAAGATTTATTCATCTTATTAATCATCATTCCCAAATGCTTTTCTAATTCTGTTTGCCAGGTAATAGAGATAGTATTATTGTATTTTATTTAGGTGTGATTTGATTGACATAAACATCCACTTAAAATCATGATTCATGGGCTGGGGTTGTGGCTCAGCGGTAGAGCGCTTGCCTTGCATGTGCCGGGTGCCAGGTTCAATCCTCAGCACCACGTAAAAATAAAAATAAAGGTATTGTGTCCATCTATAACTAAAAAACAAAATAGTTTTAAAAAATTATGATTCACCATTATATTTAGAGACATTGTCATTGAAAAAAATGTGTTTATCATATTTAAAAGTCTGTTGGTTCCCATGTTAAAATAGGGAAACAGTTAAATATGGAAAGTTAAATAAATATAGAAGTACAAAAGCACCACTGTTATCAAATGACACAATCGTGTTTTTATAACTTTCGAAGTAAAAATTGCCAATTTTAAGTCAAGTTTTACAGTTAATTGAGGATAAAGGAATTAATAAGGAATGTCTTAGATTTAATTGGAAATAGAAAATAAGAATCTGGGGTTACATAAGAATTTTTTAGAGAAACATGGTGAAGATATTGGTACACTCAGGTCATTTATCCTGAGCTAATGACAATAAGCAGAGAATGTGGTTTTCTGCTGTGTTCTCTGGTTTAGGGTCTGGTTTTCTATCCATAGAATAGAACCTGGGGCTAGTGTACAGGTAGGCTTCCCAACTTCTTCAGGAATTTTTTTTCTTAAGTTGGTCATTTATAGTGTGAATCCTGAAATGATACTCAGAGGCTCTGTGCCTGGAAGTTTTAAACTGAAACCTTAAGTCATTGCTTCTGATGCGTTTGTATAAAGAAGAGACAGAGGGGAATCTGGGTCACTGAAGGAATGTGGTTTGGCAGCAGTGGACCTAAGGTATTATCAGGTTGATTTAGTTACCAGAAGACATGAAGACTTTCTAAGAACCCAGTTGTATGAACAAGGAATTTTCAAGTGAACAAATGTATAGAGAAATGGTTATAATAATACTCTGTGTGATATGATAAAGTTATAAATAATGAGAGTGGATGAGAGAAAAATTTTATAGAACGTGTCAGTAGACTTTTTATGAATAATTGTTGACCAAAGTCAAGGGTATCTCGGACATTTCTGTGGAAGTCTAAAGTGGAAGCAGTTTGTAGGAGGATCAATTTTTAATGAGTGTAGAAGAGTTTGATTTTAGAATTCAGGGTTTAAGGTACCTTATACATACATGATTAGGTTGTATAATATAGGCCCACTGCTTATGAATGGAACTAAGAAATTGAAGCCAGGAGGGTAACCTAAAGGGTTAGAAGATGATCGCTTTAAGAAGCAAAGGTATTAGCACCTACATCTTCATTAAACCAACACATCTGGTGGGAGATTTTGAGAAGCTAAGTGATTTAAGAGTCCTGAATGATTAAAAGAAAAAATATTATAACTGCTGCTTATAATGACTGCAGCGCATTCTCAACATTTGGCATAATTAGAGATGGAAAGAGTTTTTGTAAGTGGGATAGATTGTTTCTTAGACAAATGATTACTGAGCTATAAACATGAAATTCAGCCAACCCAAGTTAACTCAGCTATAATGGCTGTCCTCAACGCCCTTTGCATTTGGAACCTTTAGTGTACTGCTTGCCTTTTTCTCTAGGGTGTTACATTTATTCTTGGTTCCTCCTTTTGGAGGTTTAATAGCATTCATTGTATGTGAATATCTGTGTTCTTTGCACATGGGTCACATGACAGTGGGGGTTACAGATACTTTAACAACTCTGCTCTATTTAGCCATGGAAGAAATCTCATTACTGTCACTCCTCCTGCCTAGTGATGCTTGTGGCTTCCAGAGACAATGAGCAAATCATAACTAGTGCTGGGCTTAACAACACAGCAGGTCAAGGACCTTGTTTAATATCTTCAAAATCTTCAGTCATGCCTATATGCCTAAAATCCTAGCCAGCTCCCACTGAAGCAGGAGGATCACAAGTTCGAGGCCAGCCTCAGCAATTTAGCAAGACCTTTTCTCAAAAAAAAAAAAGGCTGGGGGTGTGGCTCAGTGGTAAAGTGCCCCTGGGCTCAATTCCTAGAACCCCAATAAATTATATACATACAGAAATAAATGAATCAAAATCTTCAATTATTTATTAAATCTATTTTTGTCTTTGTTTAATTATTAAATCTATATTTGTCTTTGTTGTAAAAATGAAGCTCTGCCAGACCGGTCATAAAAAGTTCATCAACTCTTTATTTTAATGCTTTTATTTATTAATTTAAGAAAATGGAAACATTAAAATAGAGGAGAAAGTTTTGTCTTGTGGAACTGTGAGAAAACAGCAGTTGAACAGTATTTTTGGTATTCTCTTTTTTACCACTTTTATCAAAATCAAACCTAAAATATTTTCAGAATCCAATCCATATTTCAGAAACACACCATACATACATTTGGCACTAGCAGTTAAGGCCATTTCAGTGTGTTTTTTCTATATTTTAACAGTTGTCAAAGTGGTATTTAACTTCTTTTTTTTTTTTTTAATTCTTACCATGTGTAAAATAGTGTAAGTTATGATTTTTTTTCAACTTTGATATTTTAGCTATATTTATCACTTGGACTCAGAAGTGTCCTGTACTTAAAGTTTGTGAAACTGTAATATGAAGAGAAATTTAAAAATAGTTTTTGTTTTTGTTTTTAATTTCTTTTTACCTTCAGTGGTCTCTGGGGCTGTGCTTGGGCTCAGCGTTGCCAGGTGCCGGCTGTTAGCATCCTCCTCTGTTAATTGTGTGGCAGGTTCATACTGCAGGATTACGTCCAAGTCATGGAAGAACTTCATAGTTTTAGAGCTGTCTCCAGAGTTGTGGGCATACTTCACAGTTCTATATTCATATTTGAGATTCTTATACTTTGTCCGGCATTGTTTCCAGTCTCTGTGTATTCCTAGTGATTGCAGCCTTTTAGCAATGTAAATAAATATTCCTTTATTTCTCAGTGTGCCATAAAGTTGTTTTCGTATGTTTTTTTCTGCCCAGACACTTAGCAAAGCTTTAACCTCCTCGTCAGTCCAGTGCTTCCCAGCTTCACTCTCCATGTTGAAAGTGACCTGGAAATGATTCACTACTTGTAGCCACCAGTTTTGTTTCCTAGGAAACCAGATGGCTGGTTGTCAGTACCGCTCCTTAGAGCTTGAAAGCATCTAGTTTAACTGGTTCAAGCTGCCTGAGGGAGTAACTTAAGGAACTGCCAAATACGCATGGCAAGCTTTGTGATTAAAGAAACCTGAACCTAAATGATTGCTAACCTTTTTTTCATTCAGCTTTAAGGAAAAATTACCCTTGAGACAAAAGGGAAAGAGACTATTTTTGTGTGTATTTCTTATGATTTGCTGTTCTGCCAAATGATTGTGGATTTTTAAAAATTGGAAATGGTTGGCAGAGCTGTTTTTCAGAGGTTTATAGCTAATGTTAATGTAAAGTGATATAAATAGAAAGTGATATTTGGGCTTGGGGATGTAGCTCAGTGCTGAAGAGCTTGCCCAACATTTGTTAGGCCCCAAGTTAAATCAATCACCAGCACTGTAAAGACTAAACAATAAAGCCTGATATTTGTTGGAGAAAAGTTGGAAAATGCAGAAAAGCAAATGGAAATTGTTTTGCTTATATCTAAATACTCACCCTGTTAACCTTACTCAGAGAC